ACCTGCCATCATGACGCACTGCATTTGACAAAAGATCATGCATCCATTAAATTATGCGAATAATCTTTAGGTGATTCCTTATTGTTCATACCCGCACCCACTTTCTACATGACATTTATCCAAATTGAGTCGCTTTGAGTAATTCGACGAGTATTGCAGATGACTTTGATTGCAGTTCTGCCTTCTTTTCGATGTCCCTTTGTGAATATCTGGTCAAACATCTTTTCCCTGCCCTCACTTCTGACTGCTTTTCCCTGAAGTTTATCACAAGACTTTGTCTAATCCTATTCACAATAACAAGAATTAACACTTGAGGAAAAATGGATAGTAAGCTGATTCCTCCTCAGTTATTTCGACGTGAGCAACAACCTTTCTTCAGTATTGGAGTCACAGTACGTTTCATCCAATCATTTGCGATCTCCTTCATTGATAACAATCCAAACAGATTTACTAATGCCAGCATTCCGTTCATTCCAGACTCTAACATTAGTTTTGGTTTTATTTCATCATCTCCTGCAGCTCTGCAATGTTTCAGTTAGTTGGAAGCTATAACTACTTCTTCAGGGGTCAGCGTCCCAGTATCCGCATCCATTTTCTTCCGGATACATAATACAGCTATCTTGTTTCGCACAGATTTAACAGCGACTTAAAGACTTCTCTTTTCCCTCTAAATGACTTCTCTAGGATCAGACGTTAGGAGACCATCCTCTTTCATACCAGATATTATTTTAGGCTTCATTCTGTCGATGTAGCGAACATTTTTATATAGTTTCTTTCCCCCAAATCTTCCATTTTCTCAGCCTACCTCTTGCAGAAGAGTGTCCTATCTTTCGTCAAAACTTTTTAAAATTTGTTTCTGTTTTTCGCTACAGAGAGATGTAGCTAGGGGGATGTTATTACTGCTCATGAAATGTTATATTTAATGGTAGTTACAAATTGGCAGCGCCTTAGTCCTAAAATTTTTGTTTCATTCCAAAAATGCGCTGAACTCAAATTTCGAGCAACAAAACGGTTTGGTACCCATCCACTTGAACGCACATTCAGTCTTTTTCCAAAAAACCAAAATATAAAGAGAAAGTCATATAACTTATGATGTAAGGTTTCTACTCATCAGAAGACGACCTCGATTTTTAAGTAATACGGAAGAAGTGAAAGTGAAAGTGCTCAAAAATCACCTTATATTCATTGAGGCTAGTAAAGCTTAAAGTAAAAAACGTCTGTAATCGTTTTGACGCCAACTTTCTTTAGGCATTCATTATTGGGTCGACTGATGGCACCCTTCATTCTCTAAGCTCATACGCTGCAAGCAGTAATCCCCGTTCTGTTACATCATTCATCATGTCCCTTTTAGCATACATATGCAGCTAGATAACCACCATAGAAAAATATTATGTTTCTGTCCCAGCAAGTGAGAAACCCATCGGTGCGATGATTGATGACAGAAAAATTACTCGAATTTCACTCGACCCCATGCCCTCTTCGTTCGGAGTCTGACGCTCAACAAACTGACCGATAAATGCCTTATTGAAACTGAGGCTTTATGCCGTTCTGTGAATCAGCTACATCCCTTCTGGGTCATGTATGGAAAAATGTCTCCAGTTGATCAGTTCCTAATGTCATAAATGCATTGGCGGAACGTTTATTTCTTCTGCGCACAGACAATTATTAGTCAAGAATCGTCAAACTACGATGTGTCATTAACTGTTCATTGCAACTATGTGACTTTCTACGCAATGAAGATAAGAAAACTGCCAATTAGTTTCTGACACCTTACGCTGGAAATAAAACATTTCAGAGCGAAGTAAAGCCGTCTTTTGACAACCCATGACTACTAGATGCTGAAACGACCAACCATTGAGAGATTTTCTGGCGATTTATGAAAATGCAGCCGTTTAACTCTCGATTTGTCATATTTTTCATTTGTTTAATTTTCTGACTTTGCAGTCAGCCACTGAATTACTGCTGGTCAGATCAAACTAAAGATGCAAAAATAAACTAAATCAAACTTTCTGAACACATATTGCTTTCCACTTCCAACCAGCTTTACACATAATTATTTCCTAATTTATTCTGTAAAGCAGCAGTCTAGTATTAGTAGACTAGTTCTAGTCTGCAAAGCGCTGAATACGCAGGCGAAAAATTAACCGTTCAGACTCCGGTCGAAACATTTGCCTTTCATGATTCATTGTAGATAAATGAATATCATCTTATAGGTCAAAAAACAGTTTTACGTTATTGCCACAGAGCGGTAGACATCGCTTTAAAATGAAATACTCCTGGCTTATGACATAACAGCGGAGATCAGTGTCGTGCCATGAGCTCTATGAAAAGAATGAATCATAAATTATGCATATTAATGAAGTGTGTATTGGAGACAGTTACAAACTTTCCTGTTTCTTGTCCGCTTGTGGTAACAATCATAACTGGTCATTACCCTAAACTGTAACTGAAAATCTCTCTGGCATTGCCAACTTTGGCTTCAACCGATCGACTGGCTGACACATTCCACAGACGAGCAATTAGGTTAACAGTTGTTGATCTGCCTAATGTAGAGTAAATACTTTTCACATCATTCCTCAGTTGTGTTAAAAGAGAATTGAGGGCAAGTTCAATAAACTGATTTTCGATTATGCCCCGATTACGATGTATTGCAAATAGCTAATCAAAGCTCTTGTGATCGCATGAATCACTTACATCGATGAGCAGGTAAACACCTGACCGGCAGAAAAATGCATCTAGGTCCACAACCTGCCCACGAGCCTAACACCATTTTAATAGAGAAAGATAAGAACTATAATATATGTCAAAGACGTATCTGATATGACCTCAATAAATTACACATACTGGTCTGATGACATCGAAACGATGATCAGAAATTAACTTTTAATGAAGCAGATTGACTGTGGAAAAGTGTCAAAACAATGACATTGTCGCGATGTGAGAAGGACAGTTTTTTCAATCTTTTAAATGCGTGGATGTCACTGCATGCTGATTTAGTTAGCCGTAATCCACACGCATCAAGCAACATCGACTTAAGTCTCACGCCCTCTTGCGTCACAACAGCTAAACACTAAGCTGTTCAAATTTTACTCAGGTCAACGAACGCTACCCGTTTCGCTGCTAGTTTTTTTCCGGGTGATGCCGAGTGGGTGAATTCCTTGTTGAAAGAAATTAAGGGTAAATAAAAACATTTGCAATGCGCTTAAATTCGAACTTGCACCTCCGGCGCACGACGACAAAATTTTACCTATTTCCGCAACATACTATTCATTGTACACTGAACTTCACGAAACTGTTATGCACATTGTGCATTTCATTGATGGAACAACTAAAGCTAATATTTAGCAAAAATTTCAATGAGCAAAATGTACTATATCCTGCTCTGCTGAAACATCAGATTATCTTATCTTAATCTTCCATGTAAATCACAGCTCTCCATAAATCAACCATAGGCAAGCACGTCGCAGATGCAGGAAACGAGCACAGTTAGGAATCAGAGTAAGGGCTAAGTAGGTTAAAAGTTGTTCTCGCATCATAAAGACAACATGGGCCGAAAAATGGTCGACCAATGAACTAAATGGAATTCAAGAGTTTACATACTTCGCAATGTCTTTGAAATAAATTTTTCTGGAAAGGTGCATGACTTAAATCTCGTTGAACGCGTCCTACCATATTAATACCCCATGAAAGTTAAATCGTTCCACCTGTGCATTACCCTCTTTGAATGTAATATGGTGACTAATGGCCAATTTTTTGGGAAAATGTTTAACAGGTAATATGCGGAAATAGCGGAATTATATGACATGAATGAAACATGGAAATGTATGCAAAATGTATTTATCACCATTTTGCTCAAGAGACAATGAAATTTGACACTGCCACTTGCTTGCAACTCGAAATAGTTGAAATTGTTAATCCTCAGCAGTCACGGGTATTTTAATTAATTAATTCTGATATATTCATTACCTTGCAAATAACGTGATTGCCAATCGTCTAGGAAGATGTGAGAAGCAACACAAACTAAGGAAAGAAGAACAATAGAAAGGCGCGTGGTAAGTATGAGAAATAGCATCACTCAGGCCATACATCACAGATATGAAACATCACGCCCAAGTGAAATTAATAACAGGGAGTAACTGGTCAGTTAATATGAACAGCTTCGGATCGGTTATTCACAGATCTTACTTCTCACAAAGAAGAATTTAATAACATATTTGAACAGTGTCAAAACGCACGATAATAAATCCACATAGACGCAACCTGACCGTCGATACTGGGCTTAATCAGCTTTATTTGGTTCCAGGCAAATGAAAATTTTAATCTTAATGTGTTTGAGGTGATTGATTATAAGGCTTCTCGAATTTTCTGGCATAAAGAACTATATAAAGCAATTTTTGCGAAATACGAAAATAAGCGTGGCACTGATTGGTTGCTTGATAATAAAATTTAGATATTTTATTGACTAAATTTTCGCAATCGCGTACGTGGCACGGGGGTGGATGAGAAATATCATTTAGACATTTACTCTGTAGTCAATTTTACGTATGGAACTGACCAAGAAGGCAGACACAAAGAGGAAACGGTTTACACTTATTCACGTTTAAGAGTATTAGCTGAAACACCTAACTGGGAGAAGGATAAAGTACAAGACAAGGGACAAAAGACGCAGTGGGCAACTAGCGGAAAACGGAGGCTTGATTAAGAAAATGAACCTCATTAAAACAGAATGCACTGCCGGGTGCATGCAAAATTAGTTTACGCTAAAATTCATGTACTTACCATGTTTTTGTATTTCAGCAGGATACTGTGGGATTGTTCCAAAGGAGCGAATTTTATTTGCTGCCGTTGGTCGCATGTGTACACACAGGTATGTGTGTGAGCCGCAAGCACGGTTTTAACTGTTGACAGTATATCTGCAAAGAAAGAACATTAAATATTTGCGTCGATTGGAGGACTGACGTCGTAGGGAATGCCGGCCGGCTGGCCAGCCGGCCGTCTAACTAACCTAGGGTCTGTTGGTCCTGCAGTTGCTCCATTTTGACGCGGTGCGGATCCGGAGTCGAGGAACTGTATGGCACGATTGTGGTTGTCGTTGTCGACGGATAAGGGGATGACGGCATCAGATGAGATTGGTAATTCATAGACGGCGACGTCATATACGCGCCATAGCCATTGGCAAACCCGTTGGGCGATAAGTACTGGCCGCTGGAATGATAAGACGAATATCTACACGAAAACACGCTATCGTTACGAAGGAGCAACGCCAACCAATGGTGACCGATGCTTACAGACTGGCAGGCGAGTACTGCGAGCTGTTGCCACTGAATTGGCTGAACTGGCCGTACGACGAACAGCCATTGGCAACGACTACTTGGCTAGGATTCGTCAGGGGATGTTGCTCCTGCAGTTGCTTGTGCATTCGCACTTCGTCTTCCACCTTTTCTCGTTGTTTCTTAGACATGCGGCCGAACTTCACTGCTGAAATATGTCGAAGAATATTGTGTCCTCTGGACCATCGCGTGTTCGCAAAACTCGTACCTTCTCTTGACATGCCGAGTTCGAGGCATTTCTTTAG